GAGTAGCTAAACATTTTTGCCAGATCCCATTTAAAAGTCTGGCTGTCTATGTTATCCAATTACTTTGTTCTGGAGAAACTTTTATGATTGTTATACTCGGAATTTAAAGACATGAAGGGACATGTTGTTTTTTGACTAAATATATATATATATATATATATATATATATATATATATATATATATATATATATATATATATATACACTATATTGCCAAAAGTATTTGCTCACCCATCCAAATTATTGGAATCAGGTGTTCCAATCACTTCCATGGCCACAGGTGTATAAATTCAAGCACCTAGGCATGCAGACTGTTTTTACAAACATTTGTGAAAGAATGGGTCGCTCTCAGGAGCTCAGTGAATTCCAGCGTGGAACTGTGATAGGATGCCACCTGTGCAACAAATCCAGTCGTGAAATTTCCTCGCTCCTAAATATTCCACAGTCAACTGTCAGCTGTATTATAAGAAAATGGAAGTGTTTGGGAACGACAGCAACTCAGCCACGAAGTGGTAGGCCACGTAAACTGACGGAGCGGGGTCAGCGGATGCTGACGCGCATAGTGCGAAGAGGTCGCCAACTTTCTGCAGAGTCAATCACTACAGACCTCCAAACTTCATGTGGCCTTCAGATTAGCTCAAGAACAGTGCGCAGAGAGCTTCATGGAATGGGTTTCCATGGTCGAGCAGCTGCATCCAAGCCATACATCACCAAGTGCAATGCAAAGCGTCGGATGCGGTGGTGTAAAGCACGCCGCCACTGGACTCTAGAGCAGTGGAGACGCGTTCTCTGGAGTGACGAATCGCGCTTCTCCATCTGGCAATCTGATGGACGGGTCTGGGTTTGGCGGTTGCCAGGAGAACGGTACTTGTCTGACTGCATTGTGCCAAGTGTAAAGTTTGGTGGAGGGGGGATTATGGTGTGGGGTTGTTTTTCAGGAGCTGGGCTTGGCCCCTTAGTTCCAGTGAAAGGAACTCTGAATGCTTCAGCATACCAAGACATTTTGGACAATTCCATGCTCCCAACTTTGTGGGAACAGTTTGGAGCTGGCCCCTTCCTCTTCCAACATGACTGTGCACCAGTGCACAAAGCAAGGTCCATAAAGACATGGATGACAGAGTCTGGTGTGGATGAACTTGACTGGCCTGCACAGAGTCCTGACCTCAACCCGATAGAACACCTTTGGGATGAATTAGAGCGGAGACTGAGAGCCAGGCCTTCTCGTCCAACATCAGTGTGCGACCTCACAAATGCGCTTCTGGAAGAATGGTCAAAAATTCCCATAAACACACTCCTAAACCTTGTGGACAGCCTTCCCAGAAGAGTTGAAGCTGTTCTAGCTGCAAAGGGTGGACCGACGTCATATTGAACCCTATGGATTAGGAACGGGATGTCACTTAAGCTCATATGTGAGTCAAGGCAGGTGAGCAAATACTTTTGGCAATATAGTGTATATATATATATTTATTGATTGGAGGAGGATGTCTCTAACCCAAGATGATTAAGAAGAAATTATTATAAGGAACAAATATATTATAAGTATATATTATAAATATATATATAAATATATATACAATATATTATAAATATATGAAATTATTATAAGGAACAAAACTTTACTCAATTATCATCAGATGGAATAAAACCATTTTCCTAAAGGACTACATGTCAAAGCATGTCATGGCATGCTACTATAAAAACAGCTTTTTACAGCTTAAGGGGAGTAGATTTTTCCATGTTTATGGTTTAAGGAAGACTATCCTTATTCCTTATTAACAATAATACTCATGAAGAGGGTTCAGGTGGCAGATGTTCAAAAAAAGCTTATGTTAAGGGTGTGAATCTGAAAATGTTTCTCAACCACTGTAGCCTTCTTTTCCAGATGAGATCATCTGATATCTCTACCTGATCATCTGTACCTTGCCATAGGGATCCTTGCTGTGATGAATCAAAGGCTCCTCCTATGATGGTGCTTCTTTGGAAATCCTTTACATCCAGAGGCAGGGTCAGTTAGAGGGTCATTATGTCATGTCATCAGCATGCAAATCTGTTTCTTTATATAGGAGGAATCATTTATCCGTCTTATTTGCAAAGATTTGTTCTGCTTAACAACTAAAATGGTAAAATTAACTACCAACAACAGTTTTTTTTCTCCTGTTTGCCCCGGCTCTATTCAACTTTTTTCCAGTTTTAACTCCTTCTTAAAAACCATGCAACACTCACAGGCTTACCCTCTTCCTTTGTGATCTCACTTCAGTTCATTTGTTACCTCAGCAGTGAATAAGTGGGAGCATTTCCACATTCAGTGCAGCTTTATGTTTGTGTCTGTGTGTTTATATGTGAGCATTCATTCTGAGTGCGCTGCACTGATTGGCGGAGAAAGAGAGGCTGAGCAAAAGAAGAGGAGCTCTTCTCATGTAGCTCTCCACCTGTGTGTGCCGCTGAGTAAACAGGAGCTGTTGTCACAAGTGGAAGGCGGCTTGCGGTCTTCTCCACAGAATAGAGTTTCAGCTTTACTGCCTTTGATTTTGCCGAGCCATCAGCAGACCCGCCCCCATCTCAGCTTCATTCTGAGTCCTGATGGATAGAATCTGGGATACTAAGGTCTACCTCCGATATTTGTCTCTGTCACTAAGACAGGCTTGCTGTTTTTGAAGCGTTGACAGAGGGGCGGCTTCCCACTATTTATAGACCAAGAAACTTTTTCATCAAGCTCATTTCCTCTCATCTTGTCATATCCCCCTTTCAGCTCATCCCTCTCTTGCCGAGATGCAAAGAGACCAGATTCTGCATCTATTACCCGCTGGCTGCAGTCCATCACTTCTGTTGGTTAGCCACATCTCTCAGAGATGTCAGTCAGCCAGTGAGGTCGGCTGGGCCACCCTTTGTGATCATTGGAGCGAGAGAAGGAGAGCAAGTAAATGATTTTGAAGACAGAAGCACAGGAACTTTAAAGGAGTAGAGAGAATAATTTGTCCAATAAAAAGATTAGAATTACTTTTCAAAGTCGTAATGATCAACAGGACACATCCCATGTCTCACAGTGAATAAGTCTACCATTATCTATGTAAATGTGTGAGTGGAGAGAATGAGGTGCAGAGGACTCAAAAAATAATAAAATCAAACGTCTAATATTTGGTTGTCAGGCAACGGGGCTTCATGCAACAATAAGAATGAATTATGTATGATGATGAGGCATGACTTGACTTTCCTAAAAAGTGGTTTCATTTTCGTGTTGGAGAGTTCACCACCTGTCCTGGTTTGTCCGGGTGAAGAGAGACATTGCAGGGGTACTGACCCAGGCACAGTGACTACTTGGACCATGGGTGCATGGCTGAGTGTTTACCTGCATCGATAACACTTTAAGCATCTTTATTTAGAACATTTGTTGACTGAATGCTAAAGCTAACAGCTTGAGGGACCAACTGATAAAAATATCTTCAAACAACTTCAAATTTGAAAGGATATAAGAGTTCATTCAAAATGATTTAAGCCGGGCATACACTCTATAATTTTTGCCCTTTAGAGGGGCCAATTCTCCAGTTGTGCGAGAATTTTTTGATCGGGCCAAGTTTTTGCCTCCTCAAAAAAACCCTTCAGGTAGTTATTGAGAGTAACGAGGGCTGTTCAGCTCACGACCACCTCCCGATCAGGAACCGTAAGGTTTGGAGAAAACCAAACATGTCAAACAGTTTGGGAGAAAAAAACATGGTGCAAAAACCCATTGATATGGATGTTCAGAGCATTAATATATATGGTGCAAATGTGCAACATTTTGGTTTGGTGTTATCAGTAATCAGTATGATGCAGAATCTGTGGCATGATTTAGTTTGCATGGCAATGGGGAAGAAGCTGTGATGAAATGTCTTTAATAGAGGGAAGAGGAGCCCCGATGATCTTCTTTACTGATCTCCCCACTCTTCTCACCTTCTCCCAGTCATGCACGGCAGCCTCCACACCACACAGTGATACAGCTGGTCAGAATGCTCTCTATGGTGTATCTGTAGAAAGTCTTGAGGATGGGTGGGGGCAGGTGGGCTGTCCTCATCCTGCTCAGGAAGTACAAGCACTACTGTGCCCTTTTGACCAGTGAGGTGGTGTTAACAGTCCAGGTGAGGGTGTCTGTGATGTGCACCCCCAGGAATTTGGTGCTGCTGACCACCTCTACAGCTCAGATGTTGATGAGCAGTGGAGCATTGTTAGGCCGGTTCTTCGTTCAGTTGACATACATCTCCTTCATCCTCTCCATGTTAGAATGAGGCTGTTATCACTGCACCAGCCCACCAGCTCCTCCACCTCCTTTCTGTAGTCCTGGTCGTTGTCGTCTCTGATGAGGCCCACCACCATGGTGTCTTCTGCAAACTTCACGATGTGATTGGTGGTGAACCTGGGGACGCAGTCCTGGGTCATCTGAGTGAACACCAGAGGACGCAGTCCTGGGTCATCTGAGTGAACACCAGAGGGCTCAGGACGCAGCCCTGAGGGGAGCCTGTGCTTAGGGTGATGGCATCAGATGTGTTCTGTCTGACCCGGAATGACTGAGCTCTGTTTGTGAGGAAGTCTAGCATTCAATTACAGAGGGGTGAATTTAAGCCCAGCTGTTTCAGTTTGCCTATCAGGTGCTGTGGGATGATGGCGTTCAAAGCTGAACTGAAGTCCAGCAACAGCATCCGAACATAGGTGTATGCTAGGCTCAGGTGAAGAGCAGAGGAGATGGCATCCTAAGTGGAACGGTTCCATCAGTAGGCAAGCTGGACTGGGTTGAATTTTGAGTGGAGACTGTCCACAGACCCAGACTGGTCTTCTTAAACCAGTCTGATGTGTGGTTTTTGGGACTGCAGTGTGAACAAGTAGATCGCGTCAAATCGTCGGGCTGTACAGTGTAAGAATGTGCATTGTGAGCTGTGAACTTTTAAAGCCAGTGGTTTTATTGTATAGTTTAAGCTGTAGCTGTGCAATGACTGAAAATACTGTGCACTTTTTGACCATCCTTACCTGGGAAATGTACCACTAATGATTCTGTAAACTTATGTAGGTCGAATGAGGATCTTGTTGTTGCTTTACAAGCTATTTCACTTTTCGATCATCAAGGTCTTTATAGACCATGAACAAGTTGGAGGGTCCCTCTGCTGGCCTGGAGCGCCTCGGGCTTCTCCAAAAGGAGCTGGAGGAGAAGTCTCTGCTGAGACTGTTGCCCCTGCGATCTGGTCCCAGATGAAGCGGCAGATGACAAGTATGAGTATGAGAAGATCTTTGTCAAAGATTTTTTTTTCATTCAAAATTGGTTATAGAAGAAATAACACTGATAAAGGATGAAATGAATAATGCTCTTAAAAGGTTTTCAGGTGGCTTTAAAACAAAAGCTTTGATTTAACCCTAGAAGGACTGTTCATCATCCTTTCTTACCTCCAGCGCAGACAGGGGCCAGCTGCTGCCCCTTCCTGACACTGGTTCTGGATGACCGCAGGATGAACTAAAAAATTATCTTTAATATTTATACAAAAAAAGTAGCACAAATTACCATACATCACTGTATAAACCTGCCCTAAAGAAGCAATAACCATTTAGTCAATTATCCAAATGTTTTCACATGGGGGCTTCAGCTTCATGCAGCCCAAGCTCCTCCTGTTGGAATGGCTGGATTACCTAATTCTGTCTGTCTCCGCTGCATAACCTCTACTCATTGTCTTTCTGACTCTGAAATCTTCCAATCTTCATCACTTGTGCTAATATCATTTTTATAATCTTCACCATTTATTGAGCTGTTACACGTTTACTGACCTTTTTCTGTGAGCCTCTTAGTCTGTCATTCTCCCTTCCTCTAATTTCAGTCTTTTCTTACTTCTCATCCCTCAGTTTTCTGCCAAGGAAACAAAAAAATCCTTGCTTTTATATTCAAATTTTTTAAAGTTTTCAAAGTTTAAGCATCAAGAAAAAAATGAGTCCACTAATCATGACAGGAAGTCTATAACAATATGAAGTTTTGAGGTGACATGAGGATCTTCTTTAGATTAGAGATGTTTCTAACCAACTTATTTAAAGTCCTCGCTCCCAGACATAATGAGAAAATTACAGAAAATTTAAGCCTTTGACTTTAGGGAGCTCCTCTCTTTAGAGACACCATAATTGAATCAGCAGATTTGTGCCATCGTCTCTCCTCAGTCTGTATTCAAAGCATGCTGAAGAACCATCCACATAGCAGCTCCTCATCCCTACAAATGCCTCTATCTCAGCTCCCTGCTCACTCCTGCAATAAAAAATCTCTCCCTCAGCAGCTAGAGTGTTCTAATGAAAGGTAACTAAAATTTATTGAGTTGTAATAACACACAGGATCAGATTTCAAATACCATAACATTGTTACCAATATGTGAGAAGTAATTGCTTAGATTTCTTTTTCAATGAAATAAAATAATGCAATCACTAAAGCTGTAATTATGCAATGCCGTCATTCCCAACTCTACTAGTCTATACTATATATTTTGGTAAATGTCTAACCCCCCCGGATAGTATTGATCCCATTTGACCAATTACTTACCCGACTGTGGTATTCTAATTCAATTCTTCAACAGACCACAACAAAGAAATATCAGAAAACCCATCATTGCCGACCTCCATAGCTTTGAGTTTATTCAATATTTCCAGTTCAAGTGCAATCCTTAACTCCATGAAGTTTAGTTTAATTTTGCTGTCATCAGATTTCTCTCTTTCATGGTCAATTTAGAAACACACTACAACACTTTTTATAAAGAGTAGAAAAGCCACGTACACACACATCTGGCTTTTGTCTCCATCTGTACAAGGGGATCAATCAACTGTGATGCTTGTCATGTCTTGGACAAAATGGAGAGGGTATTGACCAAACATCCTTGTAAATTCCTAAAACAGGCATAGAGAGAAAATCAACACATTAGAATGAATTATGCCCTTTTTATGGTAGCAGAACTTTGAAGTAAATTATTACCACGTGGTTAGAGAAAAAGAAGAAAAAAAAGTGAGGGGGTTATATGTAGGAGATGAGGCGTACATGGAAAGTCATGAACACTCAGGAAAAACTGGTTCATAAAATGTCGTGACCTATTGAAGTTTTCTCTAGTGGGTTTTCACAGGACAGTGAACCAATACTACATTCAGTACGACAAAGGAATATGTAACCTGATACCGAAACAAGAAACAAGTACTCTGCTCACTGGTTTGTCTCAGCTGTCATGTATTCCATCACATCAAATGTTCCCAGAATGAGCTGTAATAGAAACTGTACAGCTCTCTGACAATGAAGACGCATGTCCATGGCTGCTGCTGCTCCTCCTGCCATCTGCTTTAACCCGGGCCTCCATCAGATCTACACCTGAAAAATCCTTCCCTCACAGCGCCATTCAAATGCTTATTACAGAAATTACACACACCAGATGGGAAGTACAGAGTGTTCAGCAGGGCGCAGTGTACTGAGGGATATTTGAGCTCCTCCTCTCTGGAGGAATCCAGATTTTAATGAGCTTCTTGCTTCCGCTAAGCTTCTAAATGATAGTCTTGGAGAACAAGACAGAGAACAAATGTTTGCTGTGAGTTGCTCAACAAGCACCAGTCTGTTTAAGCTCTGTCTGTTTGCTTAGATGTGCACATTTACCAACTATAGCTGGGAACTTTATTGACATTTACATCCGTCCTCCTTTAGGACTCAGTCTTTGTTTTTCCCACTGATTATTCACCGGTCCCTCCACAATACGTGTGTCTGACCAGCTGTTTAAACCACTGTATTATTTTAGAATTTATTTACTTCTGAGTTGTTAGTTTATCTTTTTAAGTAAGTTGTAAATCATTGTAAAATAAATTTGTTTTGCATTTTCTTTAAATTTAAATATACCCTTTAGAAATAGCCTTTCTGATGGACCTTGAAAGTTTTTTTTGAGCTATGGCCACATTTGAAAAAATATATATATATATATATATATATATATATATATATATATATATATATATATATATATATATATATATATATATATATATATATATATATATATATATATATATATATATATATATATATATATATGTAGGCCTGCATCTTCAGCTATTTAAACCATTGGTTTAGTTTAACTGATTTTATTTCATATTTAATTAAAGATAAGTTACAATCTGGAGTGGAGAAAATAAAAAAAATAAGAGACATGAAATAACACCCAATAGCAGCATATCTGATCATAATCTGGAAGACACTTACAAATAATATTTTTTTAAGTCAGTGTGAATGATTTGTGGGTATTTTGAGATGTTGGCTTATTTTCAGCTTAATTTCCTTTTTCTGGTCAAATTGCACATACAAAACACAAAATACAAGATGGTAGGTTCCTAATTAATGAAGCCTTAAGTTTAACTTTCTCCTCATTCTCCCAATCATCCAGCGAGGTCTAAAAACTCTGTGGGTGGCTCCACTCCAAATACCTGATATACTACCATGAAAATCACACCCAATCAATCCTCTTATGCTTTAATAAGCAATTAAAGCACTGTATAAACAACTCTATAAAGCCTCAAACTCAACGTTATTTCTGACATTTTTAATTGAAAAAGCTTCCTGGATGCGAAGTGAAACATCTTCAAACTTGGATAAAGTGGATTGTTTTTTAACTTTTTTTGGAATGACAATGACCTGGATGACTGAGAATCTTCACCAACAATTAAACATGCAACTCTTAATATCCCTATCTTTAAAGATAATAATTAGCATTTTAACTCCTCCATATATTTTAATCTGTAAATGTAGAGCTTTTTAGCATAATAACATAAATACCTATATAAAAATTAGCATAAATTGGAATTCAAATATGAACTGAGTTAAGGGTCTATAATGATATTTATAATAGTTAGAATAATGCTAATGATGGAAAGTAAAAGCACTTATCTATCACAGTAATTGTTTTTTTTTTACTATTAGTCACATCTGCCAAGCAACACAAAGATTGTTTAGTTCCCTCTATGCCTCACCTCACACCCAGTTTTTTTTTTTTTTTTTGTGAACTAACTGCTTTGGTTATAACATTAATTATTGCCAAACCTTTATTTTGAACAACAAAACATTTTGAAAATCATGTTTAATTTGACTTCCTTTTCACATCACAACACACTTTTTTTCATTGATCATATAACCAAAGTGTATTTTAGTTTTGTGGTAGTAAAGGGACAAAAAAAAAAAGGCATATGTAATAGGAATGCTTTTTTAAACTCTCTGCATAACCACACGTCATGTATAGCCGTGTTGCGTCTCTGAAAAGTAACATTCAGTAACTGAGACGGCTGCTTCACAGGAGGCTGGTTTCTAACACCGAGGCGTACAGACAGCTAACAGTTTGTCCCTTTTTTCAGTTTATAGGTGTCTGGACCATCTCAGTGTTTGGAGGCAGACTCAACACTTGCTGCACAACATCACGCTTTGTTTGATAAGACAAGCCTGCTGCTGAACCGGAGCCGCCCGACTCCCCAACACCTGCTGTAACTCTTACACAGGATAAAAAATAATTAGAAACCTTACATCTGAATTCAGCTGACAATAAATGCTGTTTTTTTAACCTTCAATCCACTCGACCTGTGGACAAGAGCTCACAAAGTAACTACAAACATAATCCCCAAATCTTTATTGTTTTCTCTCCAACAGAAGCTTCATATTTCAGGCAGCTTCTCCAGTTCTCCATATCAGTCCCTCATCTTGAGCAACTACCTCTCAAAAGCCTTGATTTCATCCATGACTGACTTTTTCAGCTTTCATAAGAACACAGATTAATCTTCTGTTTATTTAGCTTGTGAAGACAATTTGTCTCTTTCTCAGCAGAGTGTTATTAGTTCTGTTTTTTTTTTTTTTGCTTTACTTTTGCTACTGTCAGGCTGAAACTTATTTGTCGTGTTAACCTTTGTTTCCGCGTTAAGTCATTCAGCAAAGTCGATCCACTCGTGGGTGAGGTGTCAACACCTTGTTTAGCAACATTACAAGCAGCCAAGCAGGTCAAATGTCAAACACACAGGATCCTCACAGATAAAACCTCTGGATATTCCTGAGCCACACAGATCTCACAGTATTGGCCTGATTCTTGTTGAATTACAGCAAATTAAATAGTCATACTTTTTAATGAGTTTTGTCTCAAAACACAAGTTGCAATATAGAAAGTATATAATTTCAATTAAACTGTCATAAATGCATTTAAATTATCTTTCGTCATGCTTTCATTAATGTGTGTAACATAATGAAGGCCTTTTAGGTGTGTCATTTATGTATTATGCAAACTGTGCAAGCCCCTAAATTAATAAAAACAGGAAAAGTATTTAACGCCTATAAAGATCTGTTAAATATCTTGAAATAATGTAATGACTTTGGGTTTGAGTTTCACCAAGAAATGGTTATTTTTAGTTAAATTAATAGTTTTGGTAAAAGCCCTTTCTTTTGGCACCCCTAGAAATCACTTTAAAACAAAAGTATTTGAACATTATCTTTAAATAAACCTTGTTTCTTGGCTCGCTGTTCCGTAATACCTACTGAAAACCAGTATGGAGAGCTGAAAATACGCTTCTCTTGATGCTCCAGCCTTTATTTAACATAGTGGGAATAGACTAAGTGCTGTATTGTTGACTAAAGGGGGTTATTCAATTAACAGTAGATTTTCTACTGAAGATGCTGTTAAAAACAATTACAATTCTGCATATACTACATCCTCCATCATATACTACATATAATACTACATCCAGATTATATGTTTGAATTTAACAATAAGATTTGCTAGGATAGTATTGTAAAGTCACTGTTCTTCTCTGGTTTCCTTGAAGTAATCTTTACCAGGAGCTGCCAGTGATGGCGACACTGTACTCTAGTGC